TATTTTTGGAGAGATTTTCACTGTAGGGCGCGTGCGCTCGCCAGACAGAGAGAGACATAGAGACAGAAAGCGAGAAATCACCCCCCAGGGGGGATGGTCACGCCGCAATCCCTTCTCCTCCATTCTCCTCTCGGGATCTTGGGCACGCACGCACACGCGCCCGGCGTGAGTTTTAAGCCACCGGGTCCGGGACTCGAACCACGGTCGACTATGTGGGAGTCCAGCGACATAGCCATTACAGTAACTGCTGATTCCCTAGGTGTTTATTTATTTTGAGTTCTACAATTTTAGCACTTACCAGCCTCTGCACAGTGTAGAGAGAAATACAACGATGACACAGAACAAAGGTTTATAAGGAAGATAAAAAGGGTTTGAAAATAATTTGTGAGATCACATATGTTTTCCCCTCGTTCTGTGACCATTTTTTTCTCATGAACATGGAAGAGCTGAGTCTCAATTCCACGTGTATTCAAAACTGTATGTTAAGTGTTCTGTCTTAGGGACTGTACAAGGATGTTCTCATCAGAGATTGTTTTATTTCAAGCCCACGCAATGATTTAAGATTACAGATTTACATTTTGGTCATTTTCCTGTGTCTCAGTAACAAAACAAAACAAAAACATTTCAACACAGGAAAAGTATGCAATGAACTCATTCACCCAGCTTAAACCAGACTTGAGTTTTTCTTTCTTTTTTTTTCCCCTCCTGATGTCATCCACCACCTGGAAGACCTAGAAGTACGTGAAAATCAGGGAGGGATGTCCTCTGTTTTCTGAGTGGACTGAATTCCTACCCAGCCTCAACTTGCCCCTACCTGCCCTAGGCCAGGACAGCTTATCATTTTCTAAATCCCTTTTATTGTACAGTGAGTATTTGTTCTAAGCCCCAGGCCTTATACCCTTGAGGATTTTTAAAACTTTTTTGAAGTTCTACACACAATTTGAAAAATCTCAAATGGGTATTCCTTGAAATACCCTTATGGCCCAGTATCTTTGAAGGTTCTTAATCTCGTAGGAAACTTAATTTATCTCCTCTTAAATGTGGCCCCTTTTTGAGAGACACTTCGTCAACAAGTGCTCCTTACAACGGCAATAACCTTGTGTCTGTTTCTTTCCTTTCTTAATATTTTGTTTATTATTAAGAGTGTACAATCAGTACCTCTAAAAAGTCATCTCTACCCTTAGGAACAAAAAGTATTGTTTTTGTTTTCTTCTATGAACAATTTCTGACTGTATGCTCTGGCCTCTTCCCTCCCCTTTACTACTTATGGGCATGATGGGGGGAATACAGATAACTGTCATCGCTTCTCTCCTCGAAAAGTCTATCTGGAACCTGCAGGTGGGATGGAAGTTAAAGCACCGGATCTCATGGGCCAACTCCGTTGCTCAAGTCCTAGACTCCACAGCTTGAAAATCATACTGGGCGTGTTTGTGTGTGTGTGCCTGAGACCAAATCTCAACAGGAAACTGAAGGAGAAGGGATTGAGGTGTGACCATCCTCAGGGGTGAGGGGTGGTTGTGATTCCTAACTTTCCCTTTCTCTGTTTCTCTCTGGTGAGTGCACGTGCCCTACAGCAAAAACAGGAAAAAACAAGTTCATCTGGCTGAGTAAAGTAACAAATAAGGTGACTGTAACAGTAGAAAGACCTGTGCAGACTCAGAGAGGAGAAAATTATAAAAGACATCATGAAAAAGTTCATTTATGATGAGTTTGAGGGATGTTTAGAATTCCCAAAGATATAAATGGTTTGCACGAATGGGGAGGCTCTTCTGTCAGGAGTAGCAGGGAGAAATTGAGAGAATCTTCCAAAGCAATCAGTAGTTCACTTTTGCTTGAGCTATAGTTTTAGTATTAGAATAGTGGAAAAATAAGTCTGAAAGAATAAAGACTAAGGACTAGATAGTGACACAGTGAGGCAACCATACATAGAAAAACGTTCCCAGTTCAAGTCCAGAGACTTCCCTGAGTATGCTGGCACATGCTTGCCCATGATGCAGGGCTGGCTGAAGGTGGGGATGGGTCAATCAAGACCCTGTTGGAGGTGCTATGTCACTTCTTCATGGAAAAAATTAGTAAATTTTTAAAAATTAAAAAGTAAAGACTAAAAGAAAATGTTTGTTAGCCCAAGAAAATTGAATATTATTGGTAATATAAAGGTTTGTTTTTAATTTTGTTTTTATTTTTATTTATTTTTTTAGACAGGGTCTGGACATGTCACAATCCTGCCCTAACATCCCAGCTGGGACTACAGGTGGGCACCGCCATGCTCAGCTCCTTTTTAGACACAATCTCACTATGTTACCCCAAGCAGCGTCAAGCTCATGATCCTCCTGCCTCAGCCTCTGAGAGTCTCTGGAATTATAAGTGCACATCACTGTGCCTGGCCTTTAGGTTGGACTAGGAATTGAACCCAGGCCTCCTATGTGGTCCCAGCATGAAAAAGCACAATATTTTAACAATGCATGACACCACAGCTGAGCCAGGAGCTTTTTTTTTTTTTTTTTAGAGAGGTTTTTGCTATAGATTGTATGCTCTTTCTGGAGAGACATAGAGACAGAAAGAGAGAAATCATCCCCCCACACATACCCAGGGAGGATGGCCATGCTGCAATCCCTTCTCCTCCATTATCCTCTCAGGATTTGGGGTGTGTACACACATACATCTGGCATGAGTTTCAAGACTCCAAATCCTGGGACTCGAACTGCAGTTGGATGTGGAAGTCCAGCAGTGTAACCAGTATGCCATCTCCTGATTTCGGGGGCAATATTTTTCAGTTGGAAAATTATATGAGTTATGCTTAGGAGGCTCAAATGTCAATACGATGGATGTATGGTTTGACTGAAACCAAGATCTGTTTGCCACCCCGTGCAACCCTGTGCACACACGCTCACTCTTCAAGGCAGTGGACTTTCAGATCTGAGGTCCATTTACTGACCTCATGACACTGTTCCTTGACACTAGCTTCTTTTTTTCTTCTTCTTCCTTTTCTTTTTTTTAACTGCTAGAGGGCATGTGTGCTCACTAAAGAGAGAGGGAGAGACCGAGAGAGGGAGAGAGAATGGGTGAAAGCACACCCTGTTGGAACATGGCCACATTGCAATCCTTCCATTTTCTCTCTCTTGCCAGGATTTGAGGCATGTACACACCCGAGCCCAGCATGTTTTACAAGCCGTAATGGCAGGGAGT